CCCAGGAAACCGACAGCCTGACAACAGAACATGAGATTTGATTAAAGTGGTGAAGGTTTTGTGCAGGACCAGACACACTATTTGAAGGGCCGAATTCAGAGACCTGGTGCACTAAGTGCCACAAGGTCCCCAAACGACCCTCCGCAGGTCCTTCTCCTAGACCAGTTGCCATCAAAGGCTATAGAACCCAGTCTGTCCTGCTATTTACCCATAGCTGGGAGAAGAAGCGGATTCATATTCTTCGCAATGGTATTAGCACATAAATGAATGTAATGTAATATATATATATATATATATATATATATATATATATATATATATATATTGTATCCCTCCTTATCCATCCCTGGGATACAATATATATATATATATATATATATATATATATATATATTCTCCTTCCGATAATGGCCATTTTGGTCGAAACTAGTCGAGGAATCTAAATGAAATAATAATAAAAAAACGAAAGAATATTAATCTACAACCCAGTGTGTCTAAAGATTTTAATTTTTAATTTTTTTATTGTTCAAAATATATATATATATATATATATATATATATATATATATATATATATATATATATATATCAGAAATATAGACAAGCATATAAAATGGTCTGAGAGATTCTACTGAGATTCTATTTGAGACACATCCTTAACGTCTAATGGGGCAGTCTTTGATTCCAGACATTGATCCAAATACAACGGCAATGAAACAGTCATCATCGGCAACCAGATGCGATGTGAAGGACATGTTATGAGAATAGGAGATAAGAAGACCATAATTTCTCTATGGGGGATCAAAAATCAGGAATATGTCCGCAATGCAAACATAGGAAGAGGCTTATAGAAAATTTGAAGGATAATCTGAATGCATTGCATATGAATGTGCATCATTGGGAAGAACTGATTTTAAATCGTACAGAATAGAGGCACTTTATAAGTGAGGGATACAATGCTTTTGAGTATGAGTGTCTCAGGCATGATCCCCGAAGAGGCACTCGTTCTGATTTGCCAATTAATATGCAGTCTTCAAAATGTAGTGTGTGAGCGCATACTGTCATGGGAAGGTTATGCAAATGATTTGAAAGTTCATCATAACAACCAAATATACCGACCCGCCTCATGTGTATGTTTGTACACAGGAGATTTGTAGCGCCTACAGATCCAATCAAAACTGTCAGGGACGCAGAATATCTGTCCTATATGCTTGATAAGATCGCATGCTGGTTTCAATGGTCACTTTAGAGACCATGGACGCTGAAACGGGACGAAAGTTATTACAACTGATGCAAGGGGTGAGGGGTCAGCTCTCATCAGATTAAACTATAGCATTCACCATGTATATATATATATATATATATATGGGATAATGGTATACAATTTTTTATATATTAAGAATAATTTTGAAGGAAAGATGTTTGAAAAGAGATGAACAAAGTATTTATTTGGTTCGTTTCGTTCCTTAAGACATCATCGGAATAAATTTTACGTTAATGCGACTGCACATGCGCACAAACGAGTTACGTTGGGAATTTTGAATTTAGAAAAAGTAATTTCTTCATGTGCGTTTTATGTGCCTCTATTACTCCCCACCCCCAGTTATGGGTAAATACAGGACATAGATTTGGGCGGTAACTGGTCGAGGAGAATGACATCTCTGAACTCAAAAGCTTGACCCTCCCAGGGATGGATAAGGGAGGGATACAACGCCTTTGAGGATGAGTGCCTCAAGCGTGATCATTCTGATTTGCCAATTAATATGTAGTCTTCAAAAATGTTGTCAAGGGAAGGTTATGTAAACGATTTGAAAGTTCATTATAATAATCAGTAGCAAACTAAATATGCCGACCTGCCTCGTGTGCATAGTGGAACACAGAAGATTTGTAGCGCCTACAGATCCAATCAAAACTGTCAAGGATGCAGAATATCTGTACTATATGCTTGATGAGATCAAATGCTGGTCTCAAGAGTCATCTTAGAGGTCATGGACGCTGAAACGAGACGAAAGCTATTACAAGTTATGCGAGAGGTGAAGGAGCAGCTCTCATCTGATTACAATGTAGCAATCAACATGTATATATATGGGATAATGATATATATAATATATATATATATATATATATATATATATATATAATAAAAGAAAGAACTGTAAGATATATAATCCGGTGTTCTTATAGATATTTTTATTTTTAAAAAATAGTGCAAAATAGTGCACAATGTAAATTTATATAGCATTAATATATATATATATATATATATATATATATATATATATATATATATATATCAAGAACGATTTCGGAGGAAAGATGTATGACATCATCGGACTAAATTTGTTTCTGTTGATGCGACTACACATGCGCACGAACGAGTTACGCTGGGAATTTTAAATTTATAATTTTTTTTTAAATTTTATAAGGAGTGCAAGAGAGAATCAATGAATAACAACAAAATGATTGCAATATAAGCTCTGGTAAAAAAAAAATGCAACAATAATAACAAAAATTGCAGTATGATCACTTTTAAAAAAATGTTGCTGAGGCATTAGGTTTATAAGTCCCAAAAATTCAAGCACAGATGTCCTCGAGGGCTCATGTCTCCCGGGGATAAAGACGTTGGTTAGATACAATGTCTGTGAGTTCAATACCAGGTCAGAGAATGGAGGAACCAAAATTTGAAGAGTTGATTTAAACCCTTTATTCTACACTTATTCTTAACACCATCACTTGATAAGATACCAGAAGTGTTGAAAGAAAATGGCTATTTTTATAACATATTTATGTTATAATTTTCGAATAAATTATATTTGCCCTACTCCGTATTGAGCACTCGTTTAAGAATAGTATTTTTTTGGTTATTGGAATTTATTCCGTATACACCAATCCTATACTTGGAGATATATATATATATATATATATATATATAAAATGGACAAAGTCCGACAATCATTTTAAGACATTTTTATAAAATATGTATAGTAAATGCTCTGTTTATAATAAACAACATTTACCGGCCTGAATTTCCGAGAAATTTTCACAGAAAATATTCGTCCTCCGACAGGATTAGAACCTGCATCCTATACGGAACCGACATTTAGTTTGTCGTGCTTTTACCGATTTGGCCACAGAGGCGGGTTCAGTTAGCAAGGTCAAATTTACTGTATATACAAAACATATATATATATATATATATATATATATATATATATATATATATATATATATATATATATATATATATATATATATATATATATATATATATATATATATATATATGCACTTCCGTACTCCCACCAAACGAAAAAATGTAAGAACTTATTTTACCTTGCTAAAAATAGGAAAATTGCATCGAACATGAAAATGTGTACCAAGCAGAGCCGCTGTGTCAGTGGATTGCTCTATGCAAAACAAAATTGCACTCGTTTACACCCATTAACACTTGCTAAATCTTTACGGTAACCAAACGGTGGACGTGAGCACAGTTGGATGATGGGTAAGGCGTTCCAGTGTTTTCGAAAATGCTTAGCACTTGATGATGACTATGCGGGAAAAATTGCTGTAAACTTTCTCTGTTCGGCGGTATAATAGTGCTCCTTGTCTCCTCGCTGTTGTTGTTTCTGGGAAAAGACTAAAGAAGCTTTACATTCCTAGCACCCCCCCACGCCTGTACGTATATATGGATACATATTGCTTTTTTATATATTTGTACTTACACAATTGGGTTATCGAAAATTGTTGGAGATTTAATTGCTTAATCTCAACTGTGATGTTTATTTTTGTCTTTCTTCGTTTATTTTCTTTTTTATATTCCCGTCTTTGCGTGATTGGCCCTCATGGAATTGGTCAAAATTACTACATGTTAAATTACTACATGTAAATTACTACATGTTAAATTCTGACGTCTTTCTCATAGCGCCAAGTACTATCGACTCAGGCTTTGCAGTTAATATGGACACTGATAAAAATGTATAATAAAATTTTTTGGTTTTATCAGTATGTAAAACTTTCTCAGAATTAACCTGTAGAAAAAGACAATATGTATAAAGAAAAAAAGACGATAGGGAAAGTGTAGTTTTAGCCCGACGCGTTTCGTCCTATGTGGACTTTTTCAAGGCAAGAAACGAAATGAATTTACTGAAAACAAAGTATCTATGAACAACGAACAAAATGTCGTTAGCATCTAGAAGAAATTAGAAACTCTATTGTATATTCATGTGGTCAGATAAAAATCACTAGTCTCCCAAGCCAACGTACACAACAAATATATCAAGAAATCCAAAGAAAACGGTTGAATTCCTCAACACAACAATACAAACAATATTTCTACATGTGAAAATATTCTCTTCAAGCATAAAGTAATTGAGGTAATTTTTCAGTTGACCATATGAATATAAAATAGCGTTTCTAAATTCTTCTATTTGCTAACGAAATTTTATTTGTTGTTTATAGATACTTTGTTAAGACTTATTGCGTAAAATACACAAGTGTGGCACAAGGCTGAAAAGGAGGAAATTGGGTTGAGGCTGGTCGTCACTTGCTATCCGATACCTAGCTAATCCGATTCACGACACATTCATTCATTACAATTGACACATTCACCATAAAAAAACTGATCCATCGCCAATCAATCTTCCATATTACCAGGGGTGGCGTGCTACAAAACGCACCCCATGACATAAAAATTTCATTTAATGATTATAAAATACTATACATAAAAATTTGTACATTATATAAAATGTGAGGGGAGGGGATGAACCCCACCCAAAAAAAAACCCTGAAATATCAAAGAAGATGTTAGTTGGACCCGTCCAGCCCTCAAAAAAAATATAGATACTTTGTTTCAATAAATTCAATTCGTTTTTTGACTTGAAAAAGTCCACATTGGACGAAACGCATCGGCTAAAACTACAGTATTCTTTTATAAGTATCAGTGTATTTCATTGATACTCAATATATATTTTGTTCATGTCATTTCATTTTTTTAACTAGATATGCTGGTTTTCGTGTTTGGCTCACATGGAATTGGCCAAAATTACTACACGTTGATTTCTGAAGTTTTTCCCCGAGCGCCAAGTACCATCGACACCGCTTTTACCGTAAATGTGGGCGACTACAACAAAAACGGTCATGAAAATTTTACCTACCTCATCAAGGTGCAGGATTGTTATTTTATTTTTGCTTTTCTTTTTATTACGTTTTTGTTTTGTTTGTCTTCGTCTTTTTTGTTTGTTTGTCTTCGTCTTTTTTGTTTGTTTGTTTTCGTCTTTTTTGTTTGTTTGTTTTCGTCTTTTTTGTTTGTTTGTTTTCGTCTTTTTTGTTTGTTTGTTTGTTTTCGTCTTTTTTGTTTGTTTGTTTTCGTCTTTTTTGTTTGTTTGTTTGTTTTCGTCTTTTTTGTTTGTTTGTTTTCGTCTTTTTTGTTTGTTTGTTTTCGTCTTTTTTGTTTGTTTGTCTTCGTCTTTTTTGTTTGTTTGTTTGTTTTCGTCTTTTCTGTTTGTTTGTTTTCGTCTTTTTTGTTTGTTTGTCTTCGTCTTTTTGTTTGTTTGTTTGTCTTCGTCTTTTTTTTTTTGTTTGTTTTCGTCTTTTTGTTTGTTTTGTTTGTTTTCGTCTTTTTTTTTGTTTGTCTTCGTCTTTTTTTGTTTGTTTGTTTGTTTTCGTCTTTTTTGTTTGTTTGTCTTCGTCTTTTTTGTTTGTTTGTTTGTCTTCGTCTTTTTTGTTTGTTTGTCTTCGTCTTTTTTGTTTGTTTGTTTGTTTGTTTGTTTGTTTGTTTTCGTCTTTTTTGTTTGTTTGTTTTCGTCTTTTTTGTTTGCTTTAATTATTCCTTGTATAAATTCATATATTATGAATAAATAGCACTATATTAAATATTATAGGCCTTTTTTTTCAATCCTCATTTTAGTCTATACAATAAGTTTTGTACAGAACCTTCTAACCATTTTTTATCTATCTATCTATCTATCTATCTATCTATCTATCTATCTATATATATATATGTGTGTGTATATATATATATATATATATATAGAGAGAGAGAGATATTAATTTATTGTTTATACGTTATTTGCTCTGTTTATAATAAACAGTATCAACATTTACCAGCCGAAATATCCGATAAATTTTATAGAAAATATGTGCCCTCAGACAGGAATCAAACCTGTAACCTACAAGAACAATCATATAACCTGACGTGCGTATATATATATATATATATATATATATATATATATATATATATATATATATATATATATATATATATATATATATATATATATATATATATATATATATATATATATATTCACATATATATATATATATATATATATATATATATATATATATATATATGAACATGTAAAACACTATATTCTACCGCACTACAGTGGTTTTGTTTCGACCATTAGGTCTCGTCAGGTTTATATATATATATATATATATATATATATATATATAAGGTAGTAATTCGTTGGTATATAATCCAAGTGAATCCTATTTACACAATATAAAATATTAAAACTGATTCACACATACAGCTCAATGTTTTTTTTTAATAAACAGAGCTATATATTTCATACAATCGTAATTAAGATGCCATTACGTAAATGATCATTTTCACACTGTAAAATTAAATTTACATGATTTTTCAAACAGTTCATGGATAAATTTTTTATCCATTAACTGTTTGAAGAAAACAAAAATGCAGCAACAACAATAACAAAATGACTTTCGTTTCTTAGGCATTAAATTTCATCACTTAACGTCCTCCATAGTTTACCTTGACTTTCATTTCAGAATATTTTAGCACGTGCTTAAATTTTAAATTTTGAGATCTTAATATTTTCCCCATTTTTTTTTATACTGTCATGTTTCATGACAAAATCCATCCATTTACCTTGATAAAATGCCTCAGGGGACAAACGGCGTTGGTAAAGAAAATTTTCCTTTTTTCTTTACAGGGTGATTAAAAGTATCACCCTATATAATGTACAATGGACTTTTAAAAGACGGGAGAGTCTTTACAAATAGAACAGAGACTTATTTTTAATCACCCTATATATATATATATATATATATATATATATATATATATATATATATATATATATATATATTGGAGACATGTTTCGTTGAATAATTTAGACATGTTCTTATTACTTATTTTCAGTTGGATCCTTTCATATTCACGGATAAGTTTTTTGGTGTCGTTCTTGAAGGACGAGAGAAAATCGCCCTGTTGATACATATTTCTTTTATTTCCGAGTACTTTCGACAAATCACAATGTCATCATCAGGGCATCGTTTCTTGCTAGACAAATATTGTAGTATTCATTATTATCGAAGACAAAGTTGTTGTGTTCATCTGAAATTTAAATTTCTTGCTTGTGGAGTGAAGAACGCTGAGTCAGTGCGTGATCGCTGACTCCGTTTAAGGGGGGCTAATATATATATATATATATATATATATATATATATATGGGAGAATATGATATATAATTTTAAGTACAATGAAAAAAAATGATACCTTAGATTTAAAAAGATTTTTTTTAAATGAAAAATCTTTCTTCGCGCTTTTATTTTTGTTCTAATTTCAAGCTAAGGAATTAAATATAATATTTCCAATAAGTAAAATACTAAAAAAGACAGCTTGATGACAGATCTAATATTGCTGTATGGGGTTTTAGGCGTTAAAAAAGTAATTGAATTAACGGGGGCGCCTTTTATATATAATTAAGTACTCGTTTAAATATATCTCCTTAATCTAATATTTTATTGAATAAAAAAATCCAAAATTCATTTTAAAATATTACTGTGTGATAATGTATGCTAAGCTTTTTTTTAATTTGTGATCAGTAAATATAGTTTTACTTAATAATAATCATCTACAAGGGACAAATTAAAAGAGATCTTTAAAAAAATTAAAAAGTATTTTAAACCTAAGTTATCCTGATTTAAAAAATTTTAAAAAAATGAAACATTTCTTTTTAAAACTCATTATTCATCGAAATAATTTTTTCTTAAGACAATAGTGCCCTTAATATATTATGTTTATAAAAGCATTTAAAAGCTTTTCTAATTAAATAATGTCATAGTTTTTTTTTTTATTTTACAATTAACAGAGCAGATTTTCGGCAAATGAGTAACTGTTTGAAAAAAATTATGATTTACATTCTCCAATGAGTTCTGATTTTAAATAATATGAAGAGAGGCAAAATTTAATTTCTGGAAAGGTGGAGGGTGGTAACAGATGAGAAAAAAGATTTTCTAAAAAGAAATTTCTAAAGTAATTCAATATATTTCTGAATAAATCTTAAAAGTCTCATTAACATCCATCGATTATTTGATTTTTGCCAAATTTCCAAATCAATACGTTTTTTACCGCAAAAACAAAGACGCGAAAATATACAATACTAAGCTTTGCTGCCCCCGCTGACACAAGAATAACAAGATTTTATACCAAAATTTAGAACGTGCGAAAAAGAATTAAAACATTTAATAAGATAATCGAAAAAATACTTTGGTCCAACTCTTAATAATAACATAAACATTTTGACAATAAAACTAGTACTAATATAGTACGTATATATATATATATATGTGTGTGTGTGTGTGTGTGTATGTGTATGTATGTATATATATGCATGTGTATATATATATATATATGCATGTATATATATATATATATATATATATATATATATATATATATATATGTATGTATGCATGTATGTATGTATGTACAGTGCTGACCGATAAAAGTGACTCACCTGATTTTTTACTTAAAAATTTTTTCGCCTATTGTTTTTGGTGTCAAACTAATTTTTGATCTTACTAATATAAAGACCCCTTCCCGACCACTTAGTAAAAAAAGTTTACTCACTCTAAGGTATTCTATTGATAATTATAATTTTGGATATAAATGAGATTTAGGGAAAAAACTCTATGCAAAAAGTGACTTACTTATTTCCTGCAAC